TCAATATTGTATAATCAGTTATATTAGGTTAGGCGTTCGTCGATTTACCAATAAAAAATTACAGTAGTAGTCAGTACTCAGTGGGGGAAAAAAAGCAATTGAATTTGGCGTGACCAACGCAACAATTTAATATTCTAAGGAAAATATAAAAATTCTAAAGAAAAAATGTTTAAATCGGCTGATTGAATCGCCAAAAAAATATCGATTCAACGATAAAATCGCCAAGCCAAATCAATTCGAAAAATCGATTTTTGGACTCGAAAAAATCGATTTAAATCGCCCATCACTACAGTTTTCGTCAAGCGAGTGGGAATTCTTATTCTGAATAGAGTATATTCTACTGTTTTTTTTAAAAATTGTCCTATAACAAACATGATTAATCCGTTGTATAATGTTTGTTTAGTATTTGTATTTGTTGATATTAGAATCTAAGCGGAGCGATGAATGTATTGATTTTACAATGAAGTATAAAATAAAAAAATTTTTTGTGTGTGTTCACACGATAAGTAGTCGAAATAATGCTTCACTGTTCAACTTCAGTATCTTTTCCGATGGTAAAGTTATTCTAGTTGGTGCATTCAGAAGGTCAAATTTTCAAATGCGCAGGGGAAAAAAAACCAATTATGGAAAAACTAGTGTTTTTAAGCAAAATCAGTTTTCGACAAGATCCATTTTGGTTTTAGGTCTAACTCTAAAAAAAAATTAGTTTAGACACTTTAGTAACCCTAGTTACTACGTAACATTAAAAGTTATCCCAACAGGTACTATATTTAGTATAGTATACTGTAGGTAGGTATTAAATCAAATACGTCAAATAGAAAATAGAAATCGGCTAGTTGGCCATGGGAGGTATGGTGACCAAACCTAAATAATAAATAAGTTACATTAACTCCAGGGGGAAATAATATTCAAACTAATACCACAGCAAATTAAAACGATTCTAGGAATCGCATATGGTAGGCGGATGCAGCAAATATTTTTCATAAAAATTCGTACTACACATTTTTTAAAGTACCATGATATGATACAGAAGCTTGGGGGCAAAGCCCCCACACCGGGGATTACCAAACTTCTATGATTATACTATTAAATACAATGTCAACTTTTTTTTTTAGTAATAATTCTTTTTTTATTAATCAAATTGTACATTATTATTAGGTAACTACCAATCTGTTATTATTTTATAAACTGAAAATATACTTATGTCTGGAATAAATCTGAAAACAATTAACAAATTATTTATTTTAATGTGGAATATATGGTTTAGAATTGTATGCATATATCCTTAATAGCTAAGTCCTCATCAGCTGTCTTGCTTAATCTGGTTTCCTCAAAAACACTCTGCTGTTTTGCAAGTAGATGAACTTTATTATGTCTTTTTTTGTCTTACAGCCATTTAAGGACAGCTGGATGAGCATAAAACTTTGAAACATTACACATATTTAGTTTTATATAAAGAGAATTTTTTATAGTTTCGGGTAATAAGGATGACCGTCCACAAGTTTTCAAGATATTGTAATATGATATTAATCTCTCAACATGAGCTGAATGTGGTTTAGCAGCCAGGATACGTGCCAAAAAATTACGCTGTGTATACACACCCGACCATAGTCGGGATTTTAATGGGCACCCGACCATGGTCGGGCTGATAGTAGACACACGACCATGGTCGGGCTGATAGTAGTCACCCGACCATTTTGTTATCAAATGCGCATGAGTGATAAACTTATAAATTGTAATTAATTGATTAAATAATATGAAAGGTACTAATTTAGCACAATATGGTGTAGCCGTGTAGGTTAGGTTACTTATTGACTGTTCAATAAATATCCGGTGGCATCCAGTGGCATTCAGTGGTTCTCTTAATAAGGTACAATATACAAAAGGTAATTTTATTATTGAATATTTTATTTATTTAATTTACATGTGTCACAAAACCAATATTTCCCATTTTGTTTTGATTTAACGCAGTCCATATGATGCCAAATTAAACAAGAGTCACACAATATGGAATTTTGATCAGCTCCTAAATCATTATTACATAATGGGCATACCCAGGTAATATTCTTTTTTTTTTTGTTTAAGTACAGCAATAATTTTTTTCCATGCATCATTGGAGCAGTATGACTTGACAGTTTTAATATCAACTTCATTTTCTATAATCCCATTAAACACATCTGAATAGTGTTTAATATCTTTGATTTGGATTAAATATTTATCTTTTCTCACCTTGTTGACAACTGTCTTGTCTGTGAGCCATTCTATAATTAAGTTTTCTTTATGCAAGTAATTATGTGCATTATAAGGAGTTGGTTTTATTTGTTTTTTGCGTATTGGAAGACCTATTGTTGTTTGTGTTGCAGCCTTTGGTCTACCACTACACTTAATTTTTGTTGGTAATTTAATATCAGCAACTTTAAATTTGTTTGTGGTAGGGTTTTTGTCAGGTCCAGAACTTGTTGATGGCTGGTTAGCCTGACTTGAACTTGACTCATCATTCTGGACAGAAAATATTACATCTCCAATAATGTTTTTCTCAGGTCCAGAACTTGTTGATGGCTGGTTAGCCTGACTCGAACTTGACTCATCATTCTGGACAGAAAATATTACATCTCCAATAATGTTTTTCTCAGGTCCAGAACTTGTTGATGGCTGGTTAACGTTTTCTAAATTGTAAACACAAATTTAAATAATATATAGGTAATTTTTAAATTTTATTTCACCTTCATCATCATCATTGTCACATGCAGAACTTATCTCCTTAATTAAAAATTCTTCTTTTTTGCTCCATATACTTATTATTTGTTCCAACTGATTCATTCTTCTTTCATAATTGAATTGAGATGATATTGAAAGAAGTTCAGCCAATTTAGATGATTTAACAGATGCCTTTCGAAACTTTTCGTTGGCTGATAATAGTCTTGTGTTTTTAGGGTTTTTCTGAATTTCAATAGGAACATCTCTTACAGCCTCACATAACTTCAGCGGTTCTTTAAAAATTACCTGGGATTTATAGTAATAGTTCCTTGTCCATCTTTTATCACATATATCTTCATCATATAAAGAATGATTTGTTGCTCTTCTTTTATTAAAAATATGCTTGCATGGCAACTTCATTGAGTTATAAAGAGCACAAGAACAAGATGTTAGTGATGTACCTCCTAAAATTTTAGTTACCATCCTCAATTAACAGCACTTACAATGGGATTCTCATATCCACCAGCTTGTATGTAGCATCAGCACAAACCATCTATATTACAAATTTAATATAATTTCAACAGCTTAATATAAATTAATATTTTAATTTTATAATCACTTCAGGAAATGCTTTAAATTCTTCCTTCATCCTTAAATCTTGAAGAAACATGCCTAAAAAGTTCCCATCACTGTCTGTCAACAGTTCAACATGACAACCATACATCTTTTTGACATCTTCCGCCGTCTCTTCAAAACTTTTCACACATTTTCGTTTCTCTAGAAAATGGAACATTCCACATTTAAGTAAGTTAAACCTCGTGTTATTTATTTAAACTAAGTATATTAATACCTGTACTGCGTATATTTGATAAATCTCTAAGAGTTACCACTTTGCCAGTTTCAGCTTGTACTTTGGCTTGAATAAGCTTTTTATTTGCCTTCATCTCCATCAGTTCAAGTACATCAGCTTTCATTTGTGGTTCCAGGCGGCGTTGATTTGGCAAATTGGAGAACAATAGTTCTGAGGTCTCGTGGTTATGTGTCTCATTCATTTGAGAAATCTCTAACTTAGTGCCATCAGTTGTAACTCTTACATAGATGAAAGCAGGACAATTTTGCTTCATTGTACTACATAATATAGAATATAGTAAATGTCCGAATGATGATGAAAGCAATAAAAAAAGTAAAATAATTATATAATACTTACGAAGTGGCTCGTAGATCTTCACTTATTTTGCTTTTCTTAAAAATACCACCATGAATACACTTAAGCTTTAAAAAATAATATTTTAAGCATTCAGGAGTAAATTCCAATTTCTTGGGGTATTTTACTCGAGCTGCATTTAATGTACGACAATCACTTGTTGAAAAATCATAATAATTTAATTTTTTATAGTGCTCTAACTTGACTAAAAAGTCAGCATATGAGTCAAATGTTTCACCAATTTTCAACATTTTTATTGTATATAAATATAGAATAAAATTTTAAAGGAAATCACAGGTCACTTCGTTTACTATAGTTAATAGAACACTGTAATAAAGTAACATACAAATTACAACCGTTTAGTTTACTACATACAGGTGTCTCTGGTGTTATCTTAAATATAAATGATATATCCGGTTTTGGGGACTGTACTATGGTCATTATTCTATAAAAATTATCTTAATAACATCAATGTGAGGATGTACCAAAATATTGGGTTTTATTTCAAGGTCAGCTTAAATACAAACTATTCAACTATAAATCGCCTCGCATTTGATAACAAAATGGTCGGGTGACTACTATCAGCCCGACCATGGTCGGGTACTCGGATGCCCATTAAAATCCCGACTATGGTCGGGTGTGTATAAACAGCGAAAAAATTACACAAAAACACAGTTTAATAAAGGGAATAACTTTTAAAACAATTTAAGTGAAACGAAATTATACCACAGAAATAACTAAAGGTTTCCATCCTTCATAATTATTTAAGAGCGTTTTTAATACTTCTTTAGAAATCCTTTTATTTTTTTAACTGTGGGATACAACATGCTTCTTTATATGACATAACAAAATCGAGAAGTGCATAATCTGGACAAATTTTACCGTGGCATATTTTTAATTCTTCATCGGTAATTGATTCGCTTAAACAGGCTAATGGTTTTAAATCATTTCATTCAGATACATCTAAACGTAGATCAAGGTATGACATAATGTGTTCAATTGAATCGTTGCGTACTGACGAAAATGTACGATCTTTAGATACATACAAATTTCTATTACTTTTTGTTCTTGCTAAAGATATTTTGTCATGTAATTCGATTTATTTAAGTTTTATCTTAGTGGTATCTGTACTTGGTTCATATTCAGTCACAATTTCTTGAGTTAACATATATTCCCAACCAACAATCAGTGGAGAGTTAGTTAACTGTTCTATATTTTTCTTTAAACCATCTTTTCTAGCTTCGATATCAAATATTAATAAGCCATCACTTTGAATTTGTTTTTGAAACCTTGTGTACAAGTACCCTAGATCTGCAAGAAAACACAATAACTTCAATTTGTTTATGTCGGTGAGAATTTTGTAAAAATCAACAGCTTTAGAATCTTTTATATTATTTTGACGGTTGAAAATAAAATATTTGACAAGTACTCTCCAATTTTTCAATATTCCAAATAACAGGCTGTACGTGAACTCAGTCCAGCGTACATCAAAGTATTTTGGAAGCTGTACATACTTAATATTTTCCTTTTCGGTCATTATTTTCAATGCTTTCGTTCTCACACTAGACTGGTGGAAATATGTAGAAATTGATGAACAATAATTAATCAATAAACTATAATAAACATAAATACATTTAATAAGTAAGCTAGCATTGAATAATAAATCAATTAAATATACTTACATAATGTACATTACATTTATAATATGTATGCAATTTCACTTAACTACTTGAGTAGCTTGGGTCACTGCATTTTAACCCTGAACACAAAAATTATTTAACATATAAAACATTGAAAACATAAATAATTATAACTACCCATCATTATAAATATTAGTTATAGATTAAAATATTAAATGTATAAATAGTAAATACATATTACATACAAATATACAATGAATCTATAAACCCCATATCATATGAACACAAACAGCCAACAAAAACCCAGTTATTTTAAAATGTTGTATATAAATACCTGATGGTACTTCATCACTTTGATCATTGTCACCTAAATTATTTAATACAATTATGAATTAATTCATTAGATTAACTCAAACCTAAGTAAAACACAATAGATTACACCGTATCTGTATTGGTAGGTTGTTTCTGATATGGCCCATTGTTATATAAAATATTTTTTACATTTTTAAAGAATTAAATATTAACTTACCAGAATTTAATTTTGGCATGAAAAAATGATGGATAGTTTTCGGTTTTTTGAATTTATTTGTTATTATGTTGTTTGAACTGTTTGAAGTCATAGTAGTAACTAGTAGTTAAAGTATTTAGATACAAATAATGTATTATTTTATATTGTATTCAGTGTTCACAAAATTCACTGTTCAATTTGTATAAATACCACTATAGGTACCAGTCACCAGCGTAGAAATGAAAAAGTAAAAACACTTGACAGTTGACAGTAACACCTATACATTTTATCGTTGTCACTTCAAAATGTTCACACCTGCAAATGTTGCCTGTTAAGTGGACTCCACACTGGTCATTATCAGCGGTAAAAACACGTCCACTGAAAACAAACAAAACGGCATCAAAAAGTGGGTTTAGAGTAAAAATACTTATCATGAAACTTATAGAGAACAATATTTTGGAGGGAACCTCATCGGTGTTTTTCGAAATATTAACTATAAAAAAAGTTATTAAGTTAAAAAATTTAAAAAAAAAATGGTTTTTGTGATTTTGATTTCTAGCTGTGTATTTATTTAGATTAATAAAAACCCCGATAAGGTTCCCTCCGAAATATTGTCCTCTATAAAATGTATAATAGGTATTTTTACTCAGAAACCACTTTTTAATGGCTCTTCGTTTGTTTTTCGACAGCATATTTACGTCGTTAGAGTTAACTTTTCATTGAAATCATGTGCTGCCACCTGCCTGCCGTTGTGACGGCGGCCTCGAATTCTCCTATTATTATGATTTATGACTGTCTTGTGCGGACGTGGACCGGGGCGACGACAGACACTTTCAAGAAATAGATTGTGCGCCGATTATAAACCTTACTATATGGATTATTGACATTATAGAAATGACAATAATGAATAAATAAAATTATTATAATCAGGCAATCGGCAATCATAGATGGCATTCCATCACTGACCGTCTGGATAACTCATTTGATTTGTGTTAAATCATTTTTATAATATAATTACCATAGGTGTAATCTGTGGGCAAATGGTTTTACCAAAGTTTGCCCCCAAAAATTTACCCCAGATTACTCTTATGTTTATACTTGATACGAGACAAAACGGGGTGTCCCGTTTAGTGGTGCACTCTCGTTACGCATCTCTGCAATAGCGCATATAACAACCGCTGCTCGCTCTAGCGCATCCGAGTTCAAGCTACCCTGGCAAGCAAAACACGTAAACGCCCAACCACCACGCAATCTAGAGCGCGCGACTAACACCCATGTTATCGAACCGTCCGCCGCCCTCTAGGAAATCTCCAGATTTTCCAAGAACCCCATCGATTAAAACCAAAGTCTTGACATATTCGGAATCAGTAGCTTCCGAACTATCGACTTACATTGTCAAACGGGTTTTAAGTTATTACCAACCATCTGAAGTCATCGAAGTAACCACCCGGAATTCTACACTGGCCAACGAGACTATGAATAACATAAATAGGAGCCAGCAGCCACCAGCCAGATACCTTCGTCCCCGCCGAGTGCGGGATTGTTTTATTCGGACGGTCGTTAAACGCCGCTAGCCACGAATAGCAGCAATTCCCCCCGAGTCTGCATAAGCCGTACGGTCGTTAACCGCCGTCAGACACGGAAATGCAATAGGCTCAACCCAACGACTATTATTTCGTTTACGGAGTAAAGTCGCCTTCCTGAATGCCCTTTCGCGCCGCCACTGTTCGAGTCGAGCCGCCGAAAACTCGCGTTCATTGCTAAGTTGTTTTTTGCGCCGCCACCGTTCGAATCGAACCGCCGAAAACTAGCGTTCACTGCTAAGTTGTATTTCGCCGTCAGAGCCGAGCCGCCGAAACGTGTATAATATATTGTATCCAGTAGTGAAGACATCGCCAAAGACGAACCACCGCTGACCAATATATCTCATCGAAAACGTCGATTGTCACGTCCAAGCCGTCGCTACAGACAACGACCAGTGCAAATCCAATCCGAGGACGTCACCAAGTTACTCTGATTTCACTTGGAGATCACACGGGACCATTTCCACACGTTGTTCAAAAATCATGAACCATGACAGCAATCATGTTCAACCAACTTCCAGAAAACAACCGTAAGTTGTATGTGAATCCATTCCCACCATTCTATGTAAATTCCCTCAATACTTATTTTTAATGTAAACTCTTATGAGTAAAAAACTTTACATTCAAAAGAAAATAATGTAAAAGAGATAATGAAAACAATGTTGTTACATATCAATAAACATCATTAAATTAAACTATACAACTTGTGCTTCATTACATACTATGGACATTCTAATATTTTCAGACAGTAGGTAAATCAAATTTCAAAGTATGCATAATTTGTCTAGCAATAATAAATTCTAGTAGGCACCTAATCATATAAAATAAATATCTCCTATTGCTTTAACTAATACATGCTATAAATTATTATTAGGGCCCGGAACTTGATGCATTTGCATCTTTTTATCTAATGCTTACACACGAGGCTCGTCTTTACAGAAATTTGATTCATGGAATATGGAGTTTAATGGTACAATTTTTATTTTGCATTTTTTGCATTTTTAGGGAATTTTATGCTTTACGGTCATTATTTAGTGTTTTTAGTGCAGTTTATTCATTTTTGTACTTTTTTTTATGTATTTTCGCATTTTTCTTGTTGAAAGTTACATTTTATTGTAAAAAATTAAATTTCCATTAGCTTGTCGTTTATTGACGTTTAGTATCTTTATCATTTGTTGTCGTGATCTACGATTATTTAATAAACTATTGGCAGATACTATTTTAGGCCCGGTGCACACGTGTGTTATTTTGAAGTACCGTTTCCCCTGCATTATCGTAATTAGCTCCGATAATTTTACTGATACATACGAGACGTACGATAACGCAACTTTGTGATTGACGTTTTACGGCATTGTGGCATAGTGAATGTGAAAGACGGACGTGTTTATTTTATTGATTATCGACTGCTGTGACCGACTCTTCAATTTATATATTTAATTTATTAAATTAAATTGATTTATTTTACAAAAATGCCTAAATACAAAGTGTCGGATAACACTCGATTGAATTCGTTTGTAAATCATTTTGGCAGAGAAGTTTTTTCAACCGACGGGACTGTATTATTTTGCAAAATTTGCGAGGTAAAAGTGGCGGCTGACAAAAAATTTACCGTCGAGCAGCATATTTCGCGTAATAAACACGTTAATGGAGTTGAACTGAAAAAGATACAACAAGAACAAAGTACAAGTAAGATTCAAAGTTTAATTACCGAACCATCTAAAAAATCGCCTTTTAATCATGATCTGTGTCATGCATTATTATCCGCAAATATTCCAATGCAAAAATTACAGAACGAAACGTTTAAACATTTTCTTGAGAAATATACGAATAAAATAATTCCCGATGAGTCCACTTTGAGGAAAGGATATGTTTTTCAGTGCTATATAGACACTATTGAGAAAATTATATCTTACGTAGAAAATAAGAAAATTTGGGTAACTTTAGATGAAACTACGGACACTGAAGGGCGCTATGTAGCGAATGTTGTTGTGGGAACTCTAGAGTTGAATAACTGCGGGAAACATTTCCTAATAAATACAGAAGTCCTAGAAAAGGTAAATTATAGTACAATTTCAAAACTGTTCGATAGATCCCTTCAAATTATTTGGCCCAATTGTATTAAACATGATCATGTACTGCTTTTATTGAGTGATGCTGCCCCTTATATGGTCAAAGCAGGCAAAGCCATTAAGGTATTTTATTCGAAGATGGAACATGTAACATGCTTGGCTCATGCCTTACATAGGGTGGCGGAAGAAATCAGAAAAAATTTCCCAACAGTCGATCAACTAATTTCCAACTGCAAAAAAATATTTTTGAAAGCTCCTTCGAGAGTTCAAATTTTTAAAGAGCATGCTCCTAATATTCCATTACCCCCACAACCTGTGCTAACTAGGTGGGGAACATGGTTAACGGCAGCCTTTTATTATTGTGAACATTTTGGTACAATTAAAAATATAATCATGAAACTGGACAAAAATGATTCTACTTCCATTGAAAAAGTAATTGATCTGTTCGCCGATCCAGGTTTAGAATTAAATTTAGTTTATATCAAATCAAACTTTGGATCGCTACCAAATTCAATCAAACGATTAGAATCGTCAAAAATATGCCTTGCCGATGCTATACTAGTTGTAGAAGAAGAAAAAGATAAAATTCAATTAGCACGAAATATAGTTGGGCGCGAAATTCAACATAAATTTAAAACTGTTTTAGAAAAAAATAGTGGTTATAAAACAATGCAGATTATTTCAAAAATATTGGAAGGACAAGAAGTGACAAAAGAAGGATTGCCAGAAGATTTGAATACAGATGATATCACTTTTTTCAAACATGCGCCAATCACATCTGTGGAAGTTAAAAGAAGTTTTTCAACCTACAAAACTTTACTATCGGACAATCGCCGATCTTTTTTATTTGAAAATATTAAACACACTTTAATCGTTCAGTGTAACACATTTATTGTTTAAAAGTATTAACATAAATAAAATTTAAATTGTTTAATTATTAAAAGCATATTTAATGTAAAAAAATAAAATGTATAATAATTATCAATTTATAAGAACCATTATGCAACATTATAATTTTGTAAAACGAATTTTTTTTAATATTTATATAATAATTTTTATTTTTTAAATTATAATAATAATTATTATTATTATTTAAAGAAATTTTTGGTATTTTTGTGGTCATTTTTATGTCATTTTTAGATGTTTATAAGTCATATTAACATTTTTTTTTAGTGCATTTTTTAAAGATTTTTAGGTCATCAAGTTCCGGGCCCTAATTATTATGGTATATTGCAGTAAATGTAAAAAAAAAATCTTGAATCGATATTCTAATTATTAGTGATTACGAATGAAGACAGCGGAAGTAATAATATCAGACTACTACCTCAACTTTTAGTAGGTATTAGTAATTACAAATTATAAAATGGAAGTCAAAATATTATGAAACTACTAACAGCTATATTTCCAAACATTTTTACAAAAATAAATATTCAACTTATTATAATTTATAATGTTCAAATTATCAAAACGTAAACTTTACGAAAAACAAACATTCCTCCTAGATTGTTCAATGTGATCACACGTCATGCAGGTTTGAATCTAAATTAAAAACTGTTAGTGTATAGTGTTACATTTCTATTATATAGGTACTTATTATATGCAACTAATTATTGTTAATCATGGCAAATAAAAAAAAAAATATGTTTAAACGAAAACGATCACCCAAAAAAAGATCACTTTCACTACAACGATTTAAAAAAACAAGGCAAGGAGGCACCTAGGTTATATTTCATTTATTTTCAAAAAATTCAAAATACAATTGTATCTTTAATTTCATTCTAAAATTATAGTGTATTAGAGCAGGCGCGGGATGCTACATAATTTAAAGGGAAAATAACAAGTCAAAAAACTTTATTTTGTTAAAATAAGTATTGAATCCCATTTTTAAAAATTATTGTTTGAAAATTATATCTCGAAGATGGCGGCCGTCAGCATCAATACACTGTTGTAGACGATCTCTGAAGCTCTCATATGATTTTCGGCACGTTTCGACTGGTATGGTTTCGATTTCCTCGGTGATTTTCTGTTTAAGGTCTTCTATGGTATGTGGGCGATGTCTGAAAACCTTATCCTTAAGGTAGCCCCAGAAAAAAAAATCACACATGCTTAAATCTGGAGACCGTGCTGGCCAGCCTATGTCTCCTCTTAGAGCGACTAACCGCCCAGGGAACATTTGTTGCAAGACACCAAGTGAAATTCGAGCTGTGTGTGCTGTAGCCCCGTCTTGTAGAAACCATACATTCTCTAAATCATGGGCTTCAGATAAGTTCCAACATCACATCATAATGAGCGGAAGTGACAGTGACGGTTCTGTAAAAAAGTACAGCCCGATCACCCCAAATTGGGACACACCACACCACACTGTCACTTTAGGAGAGTGTAGTGGTCTTTCGTGGAGCTGTCGTGGGTTATTTGCAGCCCAGTATTAAAAATTTTGTTTATGTACAGTTCCAGAAAGATGAAAGTGGGCCTCATCGCTACAGAAAAAAGTTGATTTCGGAGGGATTCGCAAAAGAATTTGCTGACAGAGATTTTTACGGTTGTCGTAGCCAGTAGCATGTAACTCTTGGACAAGCATTAACTTATAGGGATGGAATGATAAATCTTCGTGAAGAATTCTCCTCAAAGAACAGTCTGAGATTCCCAAAGCTACCCCGTGTTTTCGGGCAGAGCGTCTTGGTGACTGCTCAATTGATTCTCTAACCAACTGCACATTTTTGGGGGTTCTTACCGTTCTGGGTGCTCCGTGTCCAAGTCCACTTAGGGTACTTCCAGTTTCTTCCAATTGCCGTATCCAAAATTTAATATTGTTAGCATAAGGAATAGATTCGGTACGTGGAATACCGAAGTGTCTACGAAAAGCCCTCTGTGTAGCGATCACAGAATGATTATTTTCGTAATACGCACGCACGACGAAACCACGATGTACACCTGTCCAGACCATGATTCCGACTAAAAATGGCATTATCGTACAATTCAAAATATACCACTAATTAAGGCCTGCTACTGGCCCCTCGTTAAACTCGTCAGTCGGCTTATACTGTTATATATTTTTTTGTTCACCTGCACTACAATTATAACTATAATATTAATAAAAATAATATATTAACCAATACAAACTAAAATCTTTAAAAATTGAACCTTGAAAACTGCTGAATTCAAGCAAAAAAAGTCGCTCTGCTGTACAGTAGGTTACAATTGGGTCACTATAATGTGTAATGGATGGTGTTAAATTTGAATTCAATGATATAATATCATTGTATAAAAAAAAACGATTATGAGGGAAAACGGTCATATATGATGATATTATTGTGAATAAACTAATTAATTTATATATTTACCTATTTACGTGGACCCTCGTTTTAAATTTTGAATTTAAATTTTATACTATACATTTATATATTTATAACTAATTCTAAAACCGTTCTGGGTTGATTTATTTTCAATCGAAATTAGCATGTTTTTACGATGTGAAATGTTAATTTTTTTCCGTCTAGTGCTGCGCCTAGCGGTACTATAAATTCCAACATTGGTTTGGGCGGCGGCAGTCCCCCACTCTACAATGCAAGCTAAATAGATGCTCTGCGATAATGATACAAATTAAAAATAGCATCGACGCGCGACGCCACAACGAATCTCTCCGTATTATTTTCAATTATAATTATATTCGTTATTATCGAAAATAATGAATGTCACAATAATAATAAATAATATTATAAAATATTATGGTTATGAGTTAATGACTGTTATGACTTATGAGATTAGGAATGCAACATTTGAGAGTGTCAGTCTTGTTCTTACAATTTAACAGGGCTGCAACTTTGTTACTTTTCTCACTTTTTGTCACTTTTTTTTGGTTTGGTTACTTTTTGTCACTATTTTTCGAAAACTGCCACTTATCTCACTTATCTCAGGTAGCCATTTATTATAATGTTTCACGAAAGAAACCAAAAATAATTTTAATCATGTAATTTTTAAAATTCTGTTAATTTAATTTTACCATTGCAATATTCGTATATATATTAATATATTGTATTGTACCATTATAGTCGTGATACATCCGTGATTAAAATCTTCGATAATGGTGCGGCGTAATGGTCTCTCATATTTTAAATAATCATTAGAAAATAATTAATCTATGATTGAAACACGATACCCACGGACCTAATGAAATTTTGATAAAATTATGTCCTATGCACGATTAAAGATAGTTGTATCTATAGTACAACTATTATAGCTATATTGGTCCTATCTAATCTCATGATCTACAACTGTATTTTAAGTATCCATCAATACCATGGTGTTTCAAGGTAGATAAGATTTATAATAGTATATTTTTATCATGACTTTTTTTGAGGTTATGGCATTATAGTATGCACTATCAGCTTAGTCCACGGTATGTTGTAATCACTAATCTTCAATAATTTATTTAATAGAATTGTTTTTTAATTTATTTTGTTATTAGAGTTTTAAGTTTTTAAATTGTTAAAATGTTCTATTTCAATTTGTTAAGTACGATTAAATGTTGTTGTTTTTTGTTACTTGTGTTGTGTATCAAAATATTAAATTTGTTTTTATTCAAAAATGGGAAAATGTACTGTGCAAGATGTGTGGCCCCTAAAAAAGGACGAAATAATACGATTTCAACGTGGGGCAAAAGTATTCTAAAACCCAAGTGTTATGCATTGCTTGTGCTAATATAATAAACTGTGAATTAAAAGGATTTTAAGCCTTATTCCAACATTCAAACTATATTAAACATGTACAAAATGTCAAAGTGAAGCTTGGTGAACAACAGTTGCATTTATGTTCTGTTCCTTCTAACGTGCTTCCAGAAAATAATGCACTAGCACAGAAAGAAGTTCAAACATTAGCAATTTCAACCATAGGTAATAAAATAATGGATAGGTCATACAACCTTATCAGGCGGGAATTAATTAAAACATTATTTGAGGTTATACGGTGCTTTTGATAAAAAGATTTATTATCAGTAATCTGTTTATTTATCATGTAGATGATTCAACAATTATTATTCAACATTTATTTCTTCAACACTAAAAGTATATAAGAATAAATTCTTATTACTCAACAAAATTATTAATGATAAGTTAATAGAAAAAAATATACTTTTGTGAAACAGACTTTGTCATTGACTTTTGTCAAACTAAAATCTTCAGGCGTTAATAACAACTGTTCAATATAACTGCAAGAAATATATGTTGTAAATAATAGTCAATGACATTTTATAATAGAAAATCCATGTATAAGGTTAAAGGTTTATAGAAAAAAACATAAATACATTACTTGTCAAATTCATCTGGCAGTATTGCAACATTATTCCATGTTTCTCTTTCTTCATGACTACAATCAATATAAAAATATAACATGATTACTTCGTTAAGACAATCACCATACTGGTAGTACATCAAATTTTAATATTTTTCTCTCATTGCTAAATACATAGCTCATTGGAGAAAAATGTAGGTTGCATATTTGAAGCCAATCTTTTATTTGCGTTCTTAAATTTAAATTATTTATCCATATTTCACGTTTTTCAGGATCTCTTGGAAACCTAAGTGGATTTAAAATGGTTATGATACCTACTTTATTTTAAAAATGAACATTAATTTTCTACTTACCGGTGAAAACTTAGATTTGGATTTTTAGTCGAGCTGGAGTGGCAAATTACGCATCGATGAACCATTCTTATGTATGACTAAATAATTAATTTTCGTAAAATCACAAGAAAAAACAAAAGTTTAAAAATTAAAATAATTAAATTTACATTAATAAAATGTGGGTAAGTGGATGTCGCTCTGTTGTACAGTAGGTTACAAGTGGGTCACTGTATAATGGATGCTATTAAATTTGAATTCAATGATACAATATCATTAGATATCACATAGAAAAACGATTCTGAGAGAAGACGGTATGTCAGTCTAGGTTTAAGACAAATTATATACATATCTATGGTATTAAAAAAAAAATTGACCTATAATAAATTCCAAATTAATCATATCACATTATCACAATATCCATTAGGTACTTATAACACGTTATACATAAACATCAATAACAAACCCTGATACCATAGGCGTAGGGTGATCAATTTTTTTGGGGGGGCTTTAGCCCTTCCAGGGAAAGGATTTAACAACCTCGCCAACCGGTACATCTGCAAATTTACATAAAAAATACAAATAACGTGTGACAATCAAAGGTTTTATTAAAATATTCTATTTTTTTTTTTTTTTTTTTTACTATTACAACATTAAACGTCTATTTTCTTTAGAATATATCTCTAAAATATCTTCAGAATTTATATTATTCGATACATCTCTTTCAATATTAATAATAGCTAAAGAGGAAAAACGATCATGATTCATGGTAGAGCGTATATAAGTACTGATTCTTCTCATAGTCGAAAAAGACCGTTCACAAGATGCTGAAGAAATTGGTATACTTAAAGCCAAGTTCAGAAGTTTGTATAGATTCGGAAATGTTTCAACTGTAATACATTTTTGAAATGAACTTATTTGGTTTCTAGTTTCTGAACCCTCATATTTTTCCAGGCAGTTTTTAGCTACCATCATTTCCGCTTTAAGCGATGCTAAATCAACCTTCAGTAAATCCTAAAATAATAATTATGACACATTATTCTTAAAAATTATAAACAATTAATATTTTTATTAAGTTATAAGTAATTGAAATCGTCAAATTTAAAGCAATTAAAATAAAAAAATAGCTAATGTAAATTTAATTTTTTACTCACTTTATATTGTTGAATAAAAAATAAGCTCTTTTCATAGTCAAGATCAAAAAAGTAATCAATAGCCACTGCCAACTGTAAACTTTCTGATGAAAATCTGGTTTTCATATTACTCACAACATCATCTATTATTATATAATAAGCGTGAGTTTTCCAATAATCCTTAATATTAGTTTCACTTTGAGAATCATCATTTTCAGCACCAGTTGTCGTTGTTACAACAAAATTTCTTAAAGACGCAGGCTCAAATCTTTTCCGTTTATTAGACACTAATAATGAAAACATAATAAAATTAATCAATCAAATTAAAATCATTTAAAATAAAAGTGTGTATTACTCTCAACAGGAACTTTCAACTCTATGTTATGTTCTTCGTAAAATTTAACTATATTTTCCCAAATGTTAGTGTATTTTTCAGAGCTTCTACTGTCTTCAAGAGTTTTTATCACAGATTTTATTAAAACAGCTGATTTACCAAGGGTCTCTCCTTTACTTTGTAACCGGCTACTTAGAATACTAATTATATTTAAAACATATTCTATGTAATGTATATGTATAATAAATGAGGATTTTTGAACACATGAAAGAATGCCTAGAAAAAAAATTATTGGTTCTCATATACCAATATACCATACTACATTGATATGTATACAAAATGATTGTTCACAAACCAATTGCTCTTGAAATATCCCTGTCATTGATATCTTTGACCTCTTGTTTTAAAATCTTAACAATTGACTTGTAGTTGTCTATCACTGCTTTGCAGTTTTTGTAGCGACAAATCCATCTTGTGTCACTTATTTGTGCAAGAGTGCATGACTTAATATTTAAATGATTTTGCATTTCTTGTAACTTTTTGTTATTGGAAGGCGAAGAAAAATGGACATATATTGATTCCAAGATATTAAAAACTTTCTTTATAAACTAAATAAATAAAAATAAAAATAAATAAGTAATTCATTTAAAATTAAATAAATTTGTACTTACATTTACATTTTTACACATATCAACAACAATCAAGTTTAACTTATGAGCCATACAATGAATGTATGTTGCATACGGATAGTGTTTTATCATTTTGGCTTGTACACCACCTTTTCTGCCAGACATTACGTTGGCTCCATCATACGACTGTCCAATAATGGTGGTCAAAACTTACAGAATTTTAAAAAGTTAAGAATTGCATTACTTAGTGACTC